TTTCAGGCCCACAAACAATACCTTCCATCTGGGTCTTGTACTAATCCACAACCTCGGGAGCCATTCTGAGGGCATTCAGTAATTAGGTCACCTGGATCAGAGGCACAGACACCACTGCATAACCCTTTAGCCTGTATTTAATATCAAAACTGTCTGTGCTTTAATTGGAGAACTTTTAGGTTGACCCAAAATGTTAAAAAAAAAAAAAAAAAAATCTCTCAGGTCATGCCCAAGTTTGGAGACCTTTTTAGGGCATTTTGAAATGGATTTTTTAAAAAGTAACATTTATTGCTGTTTAGGCTCTGCCCTTATTGGTAGAATCACTTCAAGAGGCTGTGGACTAGAGTGTGATGTGTCCAGGTTCAGGTACTCAGCTGTTTAAATATGAATATCAGCTTCGCCAGTTAGGAATTGTGTTCCCTTGAGCACATTTCTTCATCTTTCTTTACCTCAGTTTCCTCATCTAGAAATGGGGCTAATTATAGTACCTGTCTCTTAGGGTTATTACGATAATTATTTAGTTGCCCTGTCAGTCAAAGAAACAGAACCAGTAGTAGGTGTGTGAGTTACGGCAGGGAATAATGATTATAGGGGCTGACCAGGCAGGTTGGAGATCCATAGGGCAGGCCACCAGGAAGGGAGGATGTTGCTCTCATGCACACACTGAAGCTGCATCGGGGAAGTGTCACCTCTGTTCTTAAGCCTTTTCAACTGATTAAATCTTGCCCATCCAGATTTTTCTGGGATAATCTCTGGAACTTAAATCAACCGATGATGGCCTCTTAACTACCTCTGTAGTGGTATGTTAATTAGCCATTACCTAATGGGGAATATAGCCTAGCCAGAAAATTGATCAGCTTCATTTCTTTGGACCTCAGGTAAGTCTGCTAAACTCACTTTGAAGTGAATTTCAGTGTCCTCTCTGCTTTTCAAGGTCAGGGATCTTTAAGTCTTCGTAATCCAGAAGTTCTTTGTGACAGATGTTTGATATATCTTAGTTTTGTCATAGGTAACTGTACAGTTGTTATTTGTGGTCCTAAATGGTTATCTCTACTTGAGCTAAGGTGTCTGGTCGGGATGGGATTCTATGCCGGAATCAGCCACTGCATGAACATGCTGACCGAGTATCTGTTCTCACGTATTGGTGTTACTCCTCTGAACTTGGATAGTACTGTGTTTGCTTGGAGAAGACCTGTTAAGTCTAGGATAGTCAGAAACTGTTGAGTGGTCTCACAGGCTTCTGACATAGTGATAAGATATTATCTTTGGCTACTTGAAAAAAAAAATACAGATTTGGTCTTCTGTTATTGCAAGCACTGATTTTTCCACATACCAGATAAACTTCCTTTGGGGAAATTAATTGCATTCTTTTTTTTTTTGTGGTGCTGGGAATCGAACCCAGGGCCTTGTGCATGCAAGGCAAGCACTCTACCAACTAAGCCATATCTCTACCCCTAATTGCATTCTTTTGAGGATAAACCCTAATCTCCTCTCAGTCTGAGTACAGGGTGTCTTTGGGCTTCTCAGAAGTAAAATATTTAATGGAAAAAGCCTGGTAGGCATCCTTGGGATGCTTCCTGGTAGTCTTGGGATCGACTTTCAAGAATCACTCTGGAAGCAAGCCTGGAAGTGATCCTCTTGCAGATTCTGTACCTGCCTTTCGGTGTATGGTTATTTCCCAGCTTTGAGTGATGGGTGATGATGTGGTACTACAAAGTCTTACCCCATGCTGATCGGTATATGCCCCTGGTGCTTGCTTTTCTCTCTGAGAACTGCCTTCCATGTTGCTATTCCCAGTGATGCCCACTGGCTAGGTGTCCTGAGGTCCTCCCCATTTGGCCTCCCTTGGTGGACCTCTGAACCATAAACTGCTCTAATCACCTACTTCCTCTTGAAAGTTTCCACTAAAAGACACAAACAAAGCTGAGAGCCATGGTTTCTGGAGCTTGGAAACTATTTAGATTTGGACTTGATGGGACTTGTGTGCTGATGAACAAGCAAAGAGAGTGGAAGTGTAGCAGGAGATGAAAAGCCAGATGATGGGGTCCCAGAGAGAAAGTGAGGGAGGAGAGCTGGCACGAGAACTTCCCTCTTCCCACCAGGGCTGCGCCGTGTTCAGCTGCACTTCCTGTTGGTGTGGATTCCAGAGATGCACCTGGGATGCTCATAGTAACAGCCCCCTCCCCTTATTTCTTTAGAGTGTCTTTAGCTTCACAAGATAGTATAATTCCACTGGAAGAAATAATGGTAGGACTATTGTAATTCAGAATTGAAAGTTACATTCCTAACATACTTTCATTGGCTTTAGAACTATTCCTAACTATAGCTTTGATTCTGAAATTTATTTTCATGTAGATTAGGGTGGCTTGAATATACTAGGAAAACAGAGCAGAGTAGTACTTTGAAGTATTTGTGGATAAACAAAATCCATGTCATACAGTGTAGCATATGAAGAGGAAGATGAATTCTAATGCCCGTGGCACCAGGTCCATGCCTTGGAGAGTAATAGAAGCCTTTGTTGTTTTGTCTTCTTTCGCCAACAAAGGACACCCCCAAACAAAAACAAGAAGAACCTTTTAAATGTGGAGTTTTCTAAAACAAAAGAAAATATAGTAAGGCCCATGAATGTACAAATATTTAATTGCATATACTCCTAGGCATGTTATATTTTATGAATAAATCTCAAAAGTTATGGAAGTCTTAAATCATTTTCTAATACCCTTTAAGGTCACCTTCCCCATTCCTCCACATTGCCTCTGATTTAATTCTTCCAGCCCTGGGATATTCAGTGAAAGAAGATGAGTTTTCAAGTGGAAATTAATCCATACGTATATTGTGTTTGTGTGTGCGCATATAGCCGTCGGTGAATTATTGGGAGGCAGTGAAGCACAGTAGTGAAGAACTCAGACTCTGTAGGTTTGTGTCCAGGTTCAAACCCTGGTTTCATCGTTCACCAGATGTGAGACTTTCGATAGCCAATGATTCCTTAATCTCACCCTATTAATTCCCAGATCTTCACATGATCCAGAGACTTTCAGCTTCCATAGCAGAGTCTACATTATTTCACACTTTAAAAAATCATTCACACTTTTAATTTTATGAGGAGTAATTAACTCTGAGCCTGTCAGGGTAACCACCCAAATGTGGTGGGCTACTAAGATGGAGTGCTTCAACAAGAATGCTTTTACTGGGCTGGGGTTGTGGCTCAGCAATAGACCGCTCGCCTAGTACATACAAAGCCCTGGGTTCAATCCTCAGCACCACATAAAAATAAATAAAATAAAGGTATTATGTCCAAGTACAACTAAAAAATATTTTTAAAAATGTCTTAAAAAAATATAATTTAAAAATTTTTGAAAAATAATTTTTAAAAATGCTTTTACCCCAAGTAAGGCTTGGTGTGCACTCCTGTAATCCCAGCTACTTGGGAGGCTGAGGCAGGAGGATCACATGTTCCCAGTCAGACTTAGCAACTTAATGAGACCCCGTCTCAAAATAAAAGTTTTTTAAAGGGTTGGGGAAGTAGTTCAGAGCTGCAGCAGCCTGGATTCAAGCTGTAATGTGGGGTTGGGGTGGGGATGATCTTATCTGTAAGATTGGGATACTAACAGTGACTTCATCTAAGAATGGCTGTTTGGATTGAGTTCAAAGGCCTGAAGTCAAATTAGATTAGCTATTGCTTTATTATTATTTTAATGGATTATACATCAAGCCCAACTTTCTTTACTCTAGTTGGATTAAGTAATTGAGTCTTATGAACTGAATTTAAGTTGGAATCTTTGAGTTTTAAATTACATACTTAAATTTTTTTTGACCTAGTAGGTAGAACAGAGATCATCAAATCCAATAATGTCCTGTTATAGATAAGGAAACTGACATTAAGTGACATGATTTTGCTCATAGAGCAAGTAGTAGCCGGGCCAAAATTGGGCCTTAGACTTCCAAACTTCACACAGTTGACTCTCCTTGTCTAATGACAATCAAGGGTCCTGACCCCTGCATGCCCCCTGTCCCCAAGGATTCACTTATACCCTAATGCAAACCGATGTTTTATGTACACAGGTGGGTCATCTCTTCCCACTTCTCCTGGGCCTTCTGTTTCCTTCTATTTTCACAAAGGAGAGACTTTATCTCAGAATTGATCTAAAGTGTTATTCTTTTTATTGTTGCTGAAGATTGAACCCAGGACCTCCTGACACTCAGCACTTACTCTGCCGTTAAACTATACCCCCAACCCCCATACTTTCTACTATTTTTCATTTTTGAAAATATAGCCTTTCAGGCTCCCATAGAGTTTTTCCACTTAAACCTGAGGCAGAATCACAACTTCCCTTTATGTGGGCCTGATGTTGGAAGAGTCGAAGTTTAAAAAATAACATGTTGAGGGCTGGGGCTGTAGCTCAGTGGCAGAGTGCTTGCCTAGCATGTGTGAGACACTGGGTTTTCTATCCGTAGCACCACATTAAAAATTAAACCAAAAAAAGCATGCTGCTCATCTACAACTACAAAAAAAAAAAGAAAAAAATGGTGAGCTGGGGATTAGTGGTAGAGCTCTTGCCTAGCTTGAGCATGGTGCTGGTTTGATCCCCAGTACAGCAAACAAAACAAAACAAAATCCATGAAACATGGATGAAGGCAGATTTGATATCAAACAGATGTATTGGAGTTTCTGTACATTGAATATGTTTGAAAGTAGTATTCCTGTGGATATAATTTTTTTTCTTTTGTGTGTAATAACCATTTTGCTGAGCATTGAGGTAATTTATACTAAATGTAGAGACTTGGGACCCTAAGGAAATAAATGTACATAAATTTTTGCTCTAGCTGGTTTGCCTTAATCCCTACTAAGGATTAACAGTTTTCATACCTCGTGAATTTTTTTTCCTTTTATTGATAGTTCTTTGTAAAATACATCCCAGTTATAGCCTTTCTTTACATAGAGCTCGTCAAAGCGGTGAGTCCTGAGGACAAGCCTGCTGGATCCACTCCTCAGTTTGGACATGACTTCATCTTGACAAGGTGTTTGGGTCTTGACAATGCTTTTGATGCTCTGAGGGATGGTATTGTCACTCAGCACTTACAGGTCACTTCTACGCTAATTCATTTGGGGGATCTTTTCTAGTGCCTTATAAGGTAGCTGCTGGTGATTGTCCCATCATGGCAATTATGCCCACTCTTCTTCAGGCCTTTGGGGTCAGGCTGGTGTCCTATGGGATTAAGAGTAAAGCTTGAGCCAGACATGGTGGCATCCGCCTGTAAACCCAGCAGCTCGGCAGGCTGAGGCAGGAAGATCCCAAGTCCGACGCCAGCCTCAGCAATTTAGCAAGGCCCCTAAACAACTTAGCAAGACCCTGTCTCAAAATAAAAAAATACAAAAGGCTGGAATGTGGCTCAGTGGTTAAATGTCCCTGGGTTCAATCCCTGGTAACCCCCCCCCTCCAAAAAAAGAGTAAAGCTTTAAAATGAGTCTCCCATTCTAACCCCACCACCAGCTGTGCCATTTCTCTCTGCTTCTTTTGCTTCTGTCTCCCTCTCTTCCTCCCCTTCTTGAGATTTTGGACAATATCCCAAATGTACTGCGACATGGTTCAACTCAGACTGAGACAGACATCTCCTGGGAAAATTGTGAACCTGCTTTTAACAAAAGGAGTATTTATCTGGAAGCAAAAGATGGCGTATTCTCACACCAGCTCTGGGTGTTTTGAAAGGCCGTCATTGCTTTGTCACTCCAGCAATAAAACATGAATAATAATTGCTACCCAAATAGATGGATCCATGAGTAGTGGGCATTATAGAATAATGCATCTTATGGCGAAGTAGCCATTGGTCCCAGGTGTGAGCAGGATGGTCTTGCATGCAACTAAAGTTCCAATTAGTACTGGACCGTCCTGCCAAGCCAGTTCTAAAATTACCAGTCCTGGACTATCTGGGAGCTTGGGGAGTGACTCTAGCTTTGGTTACTGCAAAGAAGCAATGTTCCTATTCACTTTATTATTTTTTGAAGTCTGATTATGCTTTACCCTCTGCTTCAGTTATATTTAATTTGAATTGACATTTGTGATTAGTCCTGTATTTGTGATAAGTATTTTGTAATGATTCCAAATATCTTTGGGTGATTCCATGTCTCCATCAAAATGTATTAAAAAGGCCTGTTTAAGGGGGAAAAAAAATGCCCATTTACCCCTCTCTCCTCTATAATCAACGGTAAGCTTTCTGGATGCAGGAATTCATCCTTTTGTCACTGGGACCTAGGAAACCCCCTGGAATATATAAGGCACTTAGGAAATAATAATTCCATTATGCTTTTCAAATTCTGTTTATGTTGACTGATTATGTACCCTTTGTATTTTTATTTTATGCTAGAGTAATAGGGGTTTGGGAAATACAGAGGGTTTTTACTATTGGTATTTTGGTTTGGTTTGTTTTTTGGTAAGCTGTTTTGAAGTTGCATACATGCTGTAAACCCTTTTTGTTATTCATGTTAGGATCAGGAGGTTTCCACCCCTGTAATGGCAAATACATTGACCTTTGCCTGTTTTCCACCAAGTGATTAATTGACTGCTGGTTTGGATGTGATCTTAATTATTCAGAGGTCATTAAGTTGATATGGACCACTTGATTTATTTTGTTTTCTGCCATGTTTGTATTTTAAAAAATAACTTATAAAAGTAATTTTCATTATATAAAACTTGAAAAATACAGACATAGGTAGATGACAGATCATTCATAATTCTGTACCTCTTAAAGAAAACAATTATTAACATTTTGGACATATGTGGTGGTATGCTTATCAGTCAGCTCTTTGAACATAATTCCAATATGAAGTTATTTGACAGTTTTGTTTAATGACTTTTTTTTATATTGATGTCCATTTCCATTCATTTGTCATGGCAGGAGCCATCTTGCTGATTCAGATAATGGTTCTCAAATGTAGCAAGGAAGTTTCATTAACTTTTGTCCTTTTCATAGTGCTCCTTTGGGGTATGTGTTCATTCAGGCTGCTTTTCACAAAAATACCATAAGCAAAGTGACTTATGAACAATAGACATTCTTTTCCTCATAGTTATGGAGGGTGTGAAGTTGAGGATCAGAGCACCCGCTCCTATCGGGTGATGCTTCATGGGCGGGGCCTTCTTCCTGGGTCCTTACAGGGCAGCAGTGGCAAGGGGTCACACTGGGGACTCTTGTGTAAGGACCTTCATCTCATTCGTGATGGCTCTGTCCTCGTGACCTGATCATGTAGAGACCACACCTCCTAGTGCCACTATCTTGGGTATGAGGATTTCAACACAGACGTTCAGACCATAGCAAAACAAACGTGGAGGTTTTTATTTATTTATTTATTTATTTATTTTAATGTTTATTCACAATACCTTTATTTCATTCATTTATTTTTTACGTGGTGCTGAGGATCGAACCCAGGGTCCCGCGCGTTCAAGAGGAGCACGTGCTCTACCGCTGAGCCACAACCCCAGCCCCAACATGGAGGTTTTTAAAGCAAGATTTTTAAAATAAAGCTGTGTGCAAGGCACACGCCTGTGATCCCAGCGACACAGCCAGAAGAATTGCAAATTTAAGACCAGCCCGGGCAGTTTAGTGAGACCCTGCTTCAAAATAAATTTTAAAAAGGCTATGGATGTAGCTCAGAGGTAGAGTATCCCTGGTTTCAAACCCCAGTACTAAAGGAGGATGGGGAAAAAAGAGTTTAAAATAAGATCAGGATCATAGTGAATATTCAGTAGTTCATCCTCCTTATAGAAGTAGACTCATTGGTTGAGCGAGCCCCACTGCTTTGGCATAGACAGTACTTTGGGCCATTTTGCTGTGGGGTAAGATGAGAACGGTGGTATCAAATGCTTCCAGGATGGGAAGAAAGCAGAGAGGATGAACAGGGACACGGGCAACACACGCCCTGGAGCCTCCTCTGTACCAGCCACAGTATGGATTTCCTCTAGAATGTTCTGAAACCATGCTCTGCTCATTCACGGTATTGTGCCCCTCTTCAGCTGCACCCCACACCTACCGTTCTCTCATATTCTCTTCTGCAACTTCTTGTTTTCCTCCTTTCATTTTGATGCTGTTATAGATGGCAGATTTGCTTTCTGTGAATCTTTTTCAAATATCCTGACAAGATAGAGCGGCTTGTTTGGGGACTGTTGTATGTAGTATCTCCGTCTTAATGAGCAGACATCATTGCCCTTAAATGAAGCTGTCCTCAAGTACATAATATGGCATCCTGAAACCCGTGTATCTGTCAACTCTCAAATCTAGAAACTGACTCTGCTTTGAGGGAATTTTCATATGGCTGTTGGTAGTCATGATATTAAATAATTTTAATGTTCTTTAGCTAGTAAGTATACTGCTGGTATCCAGTGGGAAAGTTTTCCAGTGGTTTTGTAGAAATTAGGGGCTACCTCTGTTTGTGTAATGGAGAAATTTTTGAATATTTATGTAAAGGTTTTGTTCCTACCCACTGTTGGAGTTTCTGTCACAATTCCCAGAGGAGAACAAATCCTTGTGTTGCTAGAAGGAACTCTGCTTTTTCCATGTTGTATTTGCATAGTTCTTGGCACAGAGACTCTTTTAAGAACTGATGATTTTTGAAGGCCTTGGTTCCATGAGTTTTTTAAAAAATGTTTTTACTAGTAAAATAAAAGCCTTTTTAATATGTGAAATTACATTGCTAAGATGCTGGATTTTGTATTTATTTGTTGTTTCATCATTATTATTTTATTTGCAGATGGACGCAATATCTTTTTTATTTCATTTTTTTAATGCGGCTCTGAGGATTGATCCCAGTGCCTCACACATGCTAGGCAAGTACTCTACGCTGAGCCACAACCCCAGCCCCTGTTTCATCATGATTTTTCTCAACCATTGATGGGGCCTATTTTATTCTGGTTTAGACATTATTGAATATTTGTTGAAAAGATAGAAAGTAATGCTATAGGAATCTCTGAAAGGTAAAAGGAAGGGCTTAGCTGATTTAAACCTTTGATCAAGTAATACAAAGCTAAGAACTATCTGGCAAGGTCATTCACATTTAAAAGATATTTTTTAAGCTGGTGATACTCACCTATAGTCCCAGCTACTCAGGAGACTTGAGATGGGAGGAGTGCAGGAACCTAGTTCAAGACCAGGGTGGCAACATAGCGAGACCCTGTTCCAAAATAGATGAATGAGTGTTACTTTTAAAAGTTATGTGGAAAAATCTTCTTGTGCCTTATGATAATTTGTGCATTTTTATTGAAAACATTTAAGTTACCTTTTTAAAGTATCTGCCTGTTTCATATAAAGTCTGGGCTTCAAACTGACCTAATTTCTTCCTAAGTTTTTGGAAGTATGAATTAATATTTTGATCAGTTTCACATGCTTAAAATATGTATTTGTTTTTGCACTAAAAAAAAATTGGCAGACTCTCAACCCTCGTGGCAGTTTTATTTTAATCTCATAAAGAGAGAGACATGAAATTGCATTTCTCACCTTTTTCTTTCTCTGCTGCTTTCTACTCAATCTTTTTGAATGCTTTTTATTCGTAGTAAGGTTTTTAAAATCTTTTTTTTAGTTGTAGATGGACACAATACCTTTATGTATTTATTTTTATGTGGTGCTGAGGATTGAACCCAGTGCCTCACACGTGCTAGGTAAGCACTTTACCACTGAGCCACAACCCCAGCCCCAGGTTTTGTTTTTATAGAAGAAAATTGCACTGGTTTATTTGGATGAATTTGGTCTCATTTTTTAAATATCACATGTTGAAGTTAAGGCATCTTCCCAGCTATTCATGTGCATGTACTCACCTCTCAACCTATTTTGTTGCTAGCCCAGTTCCAAATATCAGCTGCTTCTAACGTGTTGGTTTTTTCCTACATTGTCAGTAGACAGCAGACACCTGTGCTGTGCAGCTCTCTCACCTAGATTTCAATAGTGAATGATTCAAACTGAGTTAGAAACAATGTCAAGCTGAGTGAAGTGTGAAACACACTCCTGTAATTCCAGTGGTTTGGAAGGCTGAGGCAGGAGGATCTCAAGTTCAAGGCCAGCCTGGGCAATTTAGCAAGATCTTGTCTCAAAATAAATAAGGAAGTAGCTTAGTGCTTGAAGAAGTAGCTTAGTGCTTAGTGCTTGAGTAGCTTAGTGCTGAGGAAGTAGCTTAGTGCTTGAGTGCCCCTGAGATAAATCCTTGGTACTGGGGAAAAAGAAACCTCAATAATATCAAAACGAAGACCAAGTATATTGGTCTACACTAATTGCACCTTCATTAAAGAATCAAACCTTCTGCTTTTCCTCTAAACAGTAGTTATGTATGAAGTCTGCTCTTTGTTTCTTTCCTCCATCCTTTCTACCTCTCCTATATATACTTTCTATGTCCTAAAATTCAAATAATCATCTGTTAACTGATACAGATTGACTTACACCTTCCTTTGATTTTCAGTGTTTCTCCAGAGATATGAAATTAATCTGGGCTTATTTTTAAATGAGAGGTTTGCTCATGCACCAAAGAAGTAAAGAGATAACTAAAAGCTAGAGCTAGAAATATCAGCATCAACACTGTGTTCCATGAGTCTGGCATAAAAAAGCATCGCCAGGTACACTCTGAGTGTGTGGTGGCCAGGGTAGGCAGTAGTATTAGCCATCTCCTGCCCTTGGCCATCTTCTGTCCTTTTGCATTACAGACAAATATTTGAGAGAAACAGATTCTGTGTTCTGATGAGAACCAGCATACTGTATTCTTTGGTTTGTTTGTGTCTGTTGTAAAGCAGAACCTTTCTAGGTAGACGGTGAGCTAGTATATTATGAGAAGCTTCAGGGTTTTTGTTGTTGTTATTGTTGTTGTACTAGGGATTGAAACCAGGGACACTTAACCACTGAGCCACATCCCCGGCCCTTTTTATTTTTTTATTTTTGAGACAAGGTCTTGCTAAGTTGCTGAGGCTGGCTTTGAACTTGTGATCCTTCTGCCTCAGCCTCCTGAGCTGCTGGGATTATAGGCGTGTGCCACTCACTGCACCTAGCTAGAAATTTGACTATTTTTTATCCATGGACAGAGGGCTTCAACTTGCTGTTTCTTATACATAGGTGTTGAGACTATAAATCTGGACTGTAATATAGGAAACATCTGCCTTTTATTTACCCCCCTTTAGTGTGACCAAGTGACTGTTCTTTGAAATTACACCAAGCCTCCGGTGGCCTAATTTTTCTTGCCAGGATGTCCCTTGCCAGTCTCAGTCCCTGTCTGTTGCTGAGTTTTACCAGGTTTTCCCTGACGTCCACAAGAACGAACGTGTTCAGAGATGTGTCACCACATTGTATATAGTTTTTGAAATCAGGATGACCAGTCTTAGGGAAACTGTGTTCCTGAGTTTTCTGTTCTTTTTTCCCCTGGCTTTGGTAAAGAACTTCTCTTGACATCTCTTAAAAGTCATTGTTAAGCAGGGTGTAACTGCATGAGTCAGTTGTTTTGAGAAGTTTGTTCTTTACATAGGACCTGAAGTATTTGATGACACAAGATGTGAGCGTGTCAAGAAGACTTTAAAAGTTGCCCTAATTTTTAAAAATTTGCTATAATATTTTTTAACTTATGATTTGCATGCAGCATCCTTCCAACATGTGTGGCCTGAGAAGGGGTTCATGAGTTAGTAGGAGAAAATGATGTGCAAAAATACCTCTGATCCAAGGCTAAAAAATATACATGAAAATTCTAATTTTAAGAAAAATAGAAATATTGTAAGGTCTTTTCTTACCTGTAGGCTTCTTGCTAGGCTCTGAGCCACCTATGGTCAGGGCCCATGTCCTAGATGGTCCTGTTTCTTTCCTACCTGGCATAATGCCTGGAGTAGCATGGGTAGAAATTTCTTGGTGGAAAATTGAAGTACAAATTTGCCTTTTAGTTGCCCCAAACTACCCTGCCATATGTTTTCTAATTTTATCCCTCTTGTTTTCTAGCTTATAATATACATCTTTTTAAAATTATGCTGTCCTTGACCCAGGCATGGTGGTGCAGCCCACCTGTAATCCCAGCAGCCGGGGAGGCTAAGGCAGGAGGATCAGGAGTAGCAGTTCAAGGCCAGCCTCAGCAATTTAGCAAGACCCTGTCTCTAAATAAAAAATAAAAAGGGCTGGGGATGTGACTCAGTGGTTAAGCACCCCTAGGTTCAATCCCTGATGCACCCCGACCCCAAACAAATATGCTCTCCTTTTAATGCATTTTGCCAATAACTAACTCCTAATATTAAAATTTAATTATCTTTTTTCTATTTTTTTTTTCACTTTTCTTTCTTTTTTTCCTAATACTAGGGATTTGAACTCAAGGACCACATGCATGGTCACCAAGCGCTCTACTGCAGAGTTATATCCTCAGCTCTTTAAAATTTAATCTCTTGTATTACTATATGGCTAGGAAGGAGAGGATTTGATGGTAGCCCTTGTTTCTTTTTAGGTTTCTTCTATTTCTTGTTTGTTTGTTCTGTTCTGTTCTGTGGTTGGTGTTGAGGATCAAACGCAGGGCCTCAGATATGCTGAGCTCTACTACTGAGCTATCCCCGGCCCTCTGTTTATTTTTTCTCCCTCTCTTTTTTCTTTGATATTGAGGATTGAACCCAAAGACATTTTACCACTGAATGAACCACATCCCCCACCTTTTTTAGTTTTCATTTTAAGAAGGAGTGTCACTAATTTACCGAGGGCCATGCTAAGTTTCTGAGACTGCTCTTGAACATGTGATCCTTGTGCCTTAGATCCCTCCCCTGGACCAGCTGTTGTGATTACAGGTGGGCACCACTGTACCTGGATCTTTGGGGGGGGGGGTTCTATGTAAAGTCTCTGCATAGATCAAATTAGATTGATTGTGGAGGAAAGGTGCAACCCCAGAAAAGAATCTTTCTGGTTATTTAATTCCTTGGTTTATTGAATAGATGTTTATTGAACACATTTTACATCAGACCCATAGTTCTCAGGCTTTCTCGTGTTCACATGTAAAGAGGTTTGATATGCACACATGTTGCAGTATAAGTGCCACTTCTTAGGTGCTGAGTTGATGTACGTCACATACCTCTCTCAAACCAAGTTGTACCTGCTCTATATCATATAACATAACCACTGGGACATGCTCTATCAGATTAACGTCACTGTCACTTATTGTATGTTACACATAGTTTGAGATCAGTAGCACATCAGTGAACAGTTTGTGCTGCTTATTATTTGGGAACTATCAAAGTTTTAACTTAGGAAGAACGTCCTCCAAACAGTCATATACAATGAAAAAACTAAGTAGGCAGAATTATCCTTGAAACTATTAACTGACACTTAAAGATGCTGTGTCTGTTACTCAAGTGGGTGCCATGATGGAGTCTAAATACCATCCCTTAATAAAGCCAGTCTTGCCAGTTTTCCATCCATGAGTAGAGGGTCCTCTTCCAGTGAGCACCAGGTGCTCATCAAGGTGACACTTTATATGAAAAACACCTATTTTAAACCACAGATCCAGACACTTTTGGCAAGATGTGCATTTGAGGAGTAACTGGGAATTGAGACCAAAGGGACAAAAACCAGCAGCCAAATTATTCCCAAAGACTTGCTTATTAGGTGGATTATAGATGGAATCTCTGCTACTATTTAAATAATTTGTTTCTTTCTCCATGAATAGGGTTGAGTCCACACTAGTTCAGAGAACACATGATTCAAGTTACAGAGTTGCACTTTTAAAATGAGGAGAAGGCATTATTTCTCCCTGAGAAGCTTGTGGTTTAATTAGGGAGTCAGGACACACACATCTGGGAAAGAATCTTAAAGAGTTGGAAAGGACAGGGCAGTGTATTCCAATTTTAAATGAGCTGTAGTTATAAATAACATAGTTGAAAGCCTCTTCCACAATCTTTGAACCTTTTTACGGAATCTGTTTTTTAATAGACTTAAAGAAATATGAAATTCAGAGTGCTACAGATTCAGGGAGCCACTGATCATGGTGCCTGTTCTTTGAGAAGCATCCTGGGAAGGGTGACCTGAAAGAACAGAGATCTGCGTTTCCAGTGTGTGGGGCGGGGGATTCAGGGGAGGTGGAGTTTCAGGGGTGGGGGGTGGGGCACTGGGGGGCTTGGGGGACATGGGGGACATATCAAAAACTTGTAGGTTTGCTTTGATCTCTTAGCTTTGTCTTTGCTT